TTTGTAATGTTCATTGTGTGGATCCAGTTGGCTGGAATTACTGGAGACGATTTACTTCTCGGAAGCATAAAATATTCTACTCCACAATGGAAAGACTTGCTGGGCAGATTCATACCACTGAAATGTAAACATTTCAAGATTTGATCATAGCAATACATCTCTTCTTCTGAGCACAGATCACAGCAGACTGGCCTGTCCTCTCTTTTTAAAAAGGTCTGGGTTCTGTAAGAGTTCTTCAGAAATCACTTAAATGATATTTCAACTATCTCCCCCCAATCAGAGTGTTAAAAGGAAACAGGTAGCTGAAGAGTCACATGAGACAACCTTCCCTATGCATAAAACTCCTCCTTCCTGAGATAGCAATGCTAATGACTGATCTTTGGAATCACTGGATATTCATATTGTATTTTGTCTTCCCTTAAAGCAGTTCGTTTTGGTGGTCGGGAAGCCATAGGAAGTACATGTCATAGATGGTGAGAGCTCTTGTATGAGCTCTTTAATAAAGCCAAGGTGAAAAGTCATCCTAATTTTTATGTAATGTATTTTCTCATTTTTACTTAAATTAGGTTATTCACGTGTTTGTATTTCCCTTAAAACATTATGTAAGTACTTGCAACACTAAGACACATACGCTGTACACATGTCTTAAAAAGCTCTCATACTGCATTGCTGAGATTAAACCAGTTAAGGTATGCCCTCAGGTTGCACATTTTCTGTAGAGGGAGGTTTAAAGAACAGACCTTCTTACAATGGATATTTCTAACTAGGTTTCTGCTAACCAGATCAAGCTGTGTTGTGATTTGGCAAAAAACAGACTCACTCGTATGAGTGACAACATTTTTTTCTAGTGCACAAGCAGCCATTGCTGCTGCTTTGAGAAATGTTCTCACAATAGGAAGGCAGATGTTTAGTACATGAACAGCATACTCAGTATTGCTCTGTATTGCTCAATAGTGAAAGTGTCCTATTCTTATTTTAGTAGGTTTGTTTGAAAAGGATTCTGAGGGGCAGAAGGAGTCATCAAATCCACTTTAATTTTTTTTAATTCTCTGGAATACATGTTGGTAGAGTCTTCTTTGATTAACGAAGATGATTCATTGGCTTAGCTTAAGTTTTAGAGTCTACATTGTGGATACATAAGCTCTGTATGGAGCTCTGTTCAGATATGCAATTGATTTACCGATTTACATAAGTCCTTAAGCTCAATTTGAATTGAGACATTAATTCACCAATGAAGGATAACGATTAAGCAAGTGATCTTTTGACATCATCGTTGGGAAGAGGTTCTGAGAGGAAAAATGAAATTAGATGAATGGTCTGATAGCAGAGACTAAGTTGCCTTTCAGCACACTGCAGGTGCGATCTGAAAGAAGTTGTTTGAGTCAGCTCAGTGCCATCCTGGTATTCTTTCAAAATCATTGATCATAGTATGCTATAGTTAATGAAATTACATCGGCAGATTCAGAAATATTTAATAATATGTGTAAAGAAGTCTTTGGACAAAAGAAATTTACCAGTATGACACATGCAGCTTTTGTTCCCTAGTCTGTCTTGAAAGCTGCTTGTGAGGGATTCACGATACTGATGGCAGATTGTAATAAGTGAAGGTCACTTTTTTTTTTCCCCTGCTTTTATTAGCTTGCTCAGGAAAATGCATTTGAACAGTAAATAATAACTTGGTTGGTACATGTAATCCATATAACCTCTTGCCTGATGGCTCTCCTGCTTCAAATTGGCTTGAACTGTGTCAGCTACTAAGGGATTTGAATTACTGAGTAGTTCTTCTAGGAACCATTATATTTCTTTTAGGAAGTGTTACGTGAGTATGAGGTATATGTGATGGCCTGGATTTCTTACAGTTTCAAGAACAAGCGGGGAAGACAGGGCTTTAGAAAGCTCACCCTGAATATGGGAGAGCTACACTATGAAATGGGCTGACCACTGTTCGTAGCAAGTGATGCTACTGCTTCCAAGTAGTGATAAAGCTGTGAAAGTTGATAATGCAATTTATCACTTTGAAAGCTTTTCTGATTATGATTTAGCAGCCACAATGGTTCTGTATATTGAAAAAGAGGCATTTCAAAGAAAGATACCATAAAGACTCTGGCTTAAATGTTTCCTTAACTTTTAAGACTTGTCTCCTGTCTCAATGGCGCTGGCATCTGCCAATAGTATAGCGTCACCTACAAGCACTCATGCAGTGTTTGAATGGCTTGAAATACATGCCCTTTGCACCAGGCAGCTAAATCTCTGCATGGTTCATACTGCCACCATATGAGATCAAATACTGCATCACTGAAGCCTTTCTGCACTTCACAAATGTGACCCCTGCTGTGTGAGGAATGCTAAGTTTCCTCTTCCTTTAAAGGAAAAGAGGCCCTACCTAACTGAGTTTGTCCATCCAAGTTTCCATGGTTTCTCACATAAGAAAAAGGTCATCACTGGTGAGATGAAGTATAGCCAATCTGAAATGAATCCATCTCATAGTATCCCAAAAAATTCCTTCTGTACTCCTACCAAGTCTTTGTCTTCAGCTTTTTTTTGTTAATTGAGGCTCTGTGGATTCTTAACTGTTTATGCCAGGTGCCTGCATAATTCACAGGGCCACAAATGAAGTAAACATGCATAAGTGTAATAAATTTAATTTCTTTTATCTACTGTGCATGGGTTGATCTATGTTCTGTCTTTAAACTAGCAGTGATGAGGGAATGTTTTTTATTTGGTTCTGCATCAAGCAGATTTTACATTGCTGTATGAAAAACTATTTGCTTTCTTTGTATTGCCAAATGTAGTGTGCTCATTTTATCTTTGTCTTATTTGTCTGACCTCCCTCCATAGTCATGGAATGTACTCCTGTTAAATAGAGTTTGGTTTGTGCTTCTCTAACACCTCACGTAAGAAAATTTCTCCTTCCCACCCACTCAGAGTTGTCCAGATCACTATAGACCTTGGACAAGTCTCTTCATTTCTGCATTCTCTATCTACAAAGTAGGAATAATCATGATGCATAGCTTTTGACTGGTAAAATGCTTTGAACTTCTCAGGAAGAATGGGTTGTAAAAGAGTCTAAGTGTTCTTTCCTTCTTCCACGAACAATAAATCAGCAACTGCCATCGAGCTGGATTACTATATATACACTTTTCAGGAATCCTTCCAGAATCCCTCCGTTTCCCCTCTATTGTATTTCAAGAAATGTGCAACTCATCTAGATTAGGCAATTGGGAAGCATCCCTTTCCATAGGCTGTTAACACCACTTCTGAAAAAAAAAAAAAAACAAAAAAACTGTATGAGAATTTTTCTCTCTAAGGGAAATTACTATGATATTTCTACCAAAGTCTCTTTCTTTCAGAGCACAGATTTTCTGTAGCTAGCTCTGGGTGACTATTTTTTGGTGGAATAGCTAATACTTTCTAGTGTGCCTACAGTCTGTGGAGTTTTTAAGTCTGTTCTTAACATATCCTTGATTTTCTGCTGTGACTCTGAAGTCAATGGGAGTCTTTCCAGTAAGCCTTCTATGGTTGGCTTGTTGAGATAATGACCAGCAAGTAGTCTTACTCTGAATATGAGAGATGTAAAGCAGAACTAATCTTAACCATGATGTATTTTCCTATGTGTATGTTAAGGAGATCATCAAGTTCATTAGTGTTGGAGGGGCAGGATTGTTTTGGGAGGGTTTATAAATGCAAATATTTTGGTTGTTTTGTCTCCCTGTTACACGATTCAGAAAATTACAAATTTTAATGTATTTCTTTTTCTGTACTTTGCTTTCATTTGTATGAAAATTTAATTTGGTGTATAATAGTCTGGATTCCATTTTGGCTTTGTTTTATTCAGAGAAGCATTTTTAGTGGCTACATTTGCTTACCTAGGTTTTACTTGAGAAGTGAAAATTTCTAAGCTGGGCAAGAAACTATGAAAGCTCAAAGCTAATGGTGGTGTTTGCGTTAGACAAGACACAGTTCAGTGAGATGCAGTGTGCACCTTCATTGTCTGAATGTTAGCAAGCAAAATTGACACCATATGTGCCCAACTGTAATTGCTCCAAGAGGGGAAAAGAGAAACATGTCAGAACATTTGAGTAACACCTAATTCAGCCCATGGTTATAAATAAAGCTGATGGTTGCTTAAAAACAAAAGTAGGAAAATATTATGGTTATATTATTCCTCAACAGCGCTTCCTACATAGGTGAACTTTATTACAGAGACAACACAAGTGGAGAGAAACATATAACAACTTTTTATGGTATTTTTATGTTATTTTATTTTTTTCGCAGTAAATAAAGTGGTTATGAGGCTCCAAGGAAAATGGCCCAGATGTTAGTGAGTTGTATGAAATTTAGTGGAAACAAGCTGTAAAAAACATAGTCATAAAACAGCCTGTCAATGCCACACATCTGGACAATGCAGCTGTATGTTCCCGCTGCTGTCATCACCCTAAGAAAACTCAATAGCCTTATTTCACCCCAATTAGGCTGCATACCAACGGAATCAGAATTACACAGGGAGGGGGTGTATTTTCACCAAGACAGACCCTCTCAAATTCCCTTCAAGAAGTTTTTATCTTTCATTCAGGGCTAGTGCCTCAGACACTAGTCACTTTGTAAACAGTACTCCAAACTACTCCCCTTGATTTGCTATCTGTTAAGTGCTTTTTAATTTATTACTTTATAATAAGTAGTTGCTTAATGTTGCTTCTTTGTTTAAAACCTAAAAAAAAATGACATTTTACTGTGAGAACTGTGTGTCTGTTGACCCTTACATAAATCATAGCAGTTTTCTCCATTCTAGTTTTATCTCATGCTGTAGCAGAGATAACTTCATTTGAGATCTTAGGAACCAAAGAATAGCTATGCATTTTACTGATACATGGTTTTTCTGAAAAAAACCATGATTGTACAATGCGAGATAGCACTTACTCATTTCAGCATGCAAAATATGTGTCAAATGCAATATTAAAATTATGTAAGTAATAGTTGTTTTTGGGTTTTTTTCTCTGCAGGTGATAGAAGTAGCCAAAGCCATTCTGGATAGTGGTGAAGAAATTCCTGTAACACTAACTGGAAAGCTGTTGAAATTTCAACTGCTTTGTCTCAAACAGAAGGATCTTCAGAGAAGAGAAGCTGAAAAGAAGGTGCTATAGTATGCCTTAGGGAGGATGCTTAATTAACTTTATGAAGACACTTCCATTCTAGTACTGTTTGCATAAATTCAGCTTTCTCCTCGTGTTTAATGTCCTGGTTTCAGCTGGGATGAGTTAATTTTCTTCCTCGTAGTTGGTGTAGTGCTATGTTTTGGATTTAGTATGAGAATAATGTTGATAACACACTGATGGTTTTAGTTGTTGCTAAGTCGTGTTTACACTCGTTAAGGACTTTTCAGCTTCCCATGCTCTGCCAGGTGCACAAGAAGCTGGGAGGGAGCATAGCCAGGACAGCTAACCCAACTGACCAACGGGGTATTCCATACCATCATGCTCAGTATATAAAGCTGGGGGAAGAAGAAGGAAGGGGGGGATGTTCGGGGTGATGGCGTTTGTCTTCCCAAGTAACTGTTACGCATAATGAAGCCCTGCTTTCCTGGAGATGGCTGAACATCTGCCTGCCGATGGGAAGTAGTGAATGAATTCCTTGTTTTGCTTTGCTTGCATGGGCGGCTTTTGCTTTACCTATTAAACTGTCTTTATCTCAACCCACGAGTTTTCTCACTTTTACTCTTCCAATTCTCTCTCCCATCCCACCGGAGGGGAGTGAGCGAGCGGCTGTGTGGTGCTTAGTTGCCAGCTGGGGTTAAACCATGACACTTAACTTCCTAGATCTGTAGTTGAAGAGAAGTGCGAATAGAAATTTATCTTTTTAAGTTAATTAGATTTTGGAGAAGCAGCTCTCAATTACTCAAATGCAGGTGGGACAGGGAAAAAGAAGAAAAGAAAAAATATTGTGCAAGAACTCTTTGCTAGAGTAATAAATAGTAGTGCCTTAGCTGAGTCTTAGAACCAATAGAAAATAGAGCTAGAAACTGGCTTCAGCTGAATATATCTCTGCTGAAGTGTGAAGGTAGAAGAGGTTATTACTTGAGAGGTATCAAGGATAGATGCAGAGCAGCACTATGAAGAAGCTACTATCATGAATCGCCTCTCTGGAGGAAATTTGGAGAAGTTATCTATTCCATACTCTGGCACTAAGGCAGGGTAAAATATACATAAACTATTCCTGGCAGATGTTTTTTGAACCTGTTCTTAAAACCTTCCACTGCTGTGCTTTTACTTTTCTACGGCAATCAGTATTACTGCTCAACTATCTCTGCAACATCGCCATTTGGAAAATGTTTCTAACCTTATCAACCCAGCTCCGATTTAAACCCATTACTGCTTCACTTCTCACTGTGTATGGGGACAACAGTTCTTGCCTTCCATTCTGCAAAAATCTATTACATATTTAACTAAACAAACCCAAATATATGTCACGGTTTCTAGTTTTTTCTTATGCTTGTTCCTCTCCTCTGAACTCCCTCCAAATAGTTCATATCTTGAAGTCTGCTTCTCAGAACTGGGTACCACATTTTCCAGTGTTCCCAACACTCGCTTCCACATATTCTCCAAGATCATCACTACTAGGTCCAAGATTGCCTCAGTCAGATTGCTTACGTGTTCTAGGAAGAATTTCACCAAGCTTGCACAGAATCACAATCAGATCAGACCTCTAATTGCTTTCTAGCATCTGTAATTAAAAAAAAAAAAGTTGTCAGTGGTACATTTCAGCAACTTACTGAACAGTTGGTCTTTGCTATAGTCCTTTTCCAGCAAACATGCATGCAGCTGAAGACCATTACCAGAAAGTCATATAATTGCTGCAATAGTTTACCCTGTTAATTGATCAAAAACTATAATGTAAAATGTGATGACATGGAGACCTAAGCAGTCTGTGCATGTAAAAGAGGCAAGAAGAAAATGGTTTCATGGATTTTGTGTAGTTGAAAAGTCTGTAAATTTCTTTATCAATAATTCTATTTGTGGGAATAATCTGTGGATGAAGTATAGCACACAAGCACAAGAACATTAAATGCTAGGTGATAAATTAAAGTTGTGTCCTGTTCCCGAAGAAGTCAATTGCAAAATTGATCAGCAAATGATAATGTAAGCCACAGAAATATATAAAGAATCTGAGAAAAAAAATGTGTTTTCAATCTGAAGAGAAATTGAGAGGCTGAAGCTATAGAGCAGATCTTTTGTAATGAACGGAGAAAAAATGACTTTTCTGTTAGATATCAGTCAGTGCTGATAAGTAAACTGTAAAACAAAAATTTGAAGTTTAAAGATTAGGCACTTCAATATTAAAATGGAGCCTTTAGCTTTGATTTGGCAAGATTACTCTTATAAGTATGATTTTATTTCCCTGGAGAATCTGAGGATAGTCAGTATTGAAGGTTGAAGAATCTCTGGAACTTACAATTTCTTCTCTGTTTTAGCCAAGCAATCTGGACAAAGTTGTCAGCTCCTCTGGATTACATCTATATCAAAGCGTGACAGGCAAACATGACAGCAGCAGTTGAAGGACAAAGACAGAGTCAAGAATTGAGAGGGCTTTTGACTATGAGGATGCTCTGCAGTACAGAACAGGCAGAAACTGGCTTTTAACTTAGAATTCTAATTCTAAATTGTCTGCCATAAATTTTTTAATCCTTTCCAACTAGCTTGTACAGTACAAGATCCATTGCCAACAACTTGGGGGTTGAAACCAGGATTTTACTAGCAGATCAGTTCTCAGAAAGCCAACATAACTGTCCATTGTTTTTTCGAATAGACATCAATTAATAAAATGGATTGGTAGAAGAAAAACAGCAAGTGAATAAACAAAAATAAACCATTATGAAATTTCTGTATTTCGGTAGGAGCAGAAGTTTGTCATAAATTGACAGGTGTATGCATTTAAATTAATATGCAGAAGAGGTGTCTCTGAATTAGAAGACTGTTTGAGATAGTAAGATTCTGTAATATGAAGCTTAAAATAACAAAATTACAGAGTGTAAAGCTAATGGAAGATTAGAAACTCCATAAAAAGCTGCACCTTTGAAAGAGAAATACGACATTGAGGGGGAAAAGGAAAGACTCCTAGAAAGGAGAGGCTTTTACTTCCTGAGGTATTAAGGTCAACTAGTGTTCTTTGTTGGAATCTTGGCAAGTTCAGAAATGTCTCTGCTTATCTGAGACTTAATTACATAAGATGATGCGTATGCAATAGGTAAAGCTGATTGTGAACTTTGTAGCCTGATGATTGTATCATCTGTTTTGATGTGTTCATCAGCTTAGAATCAAAGTAGTACTATCAAAATCTTTGGTTTGAAATGTCCAAAGTGGAATAAATCTGAAAGAAAATAATGAAAGCAACCAAATCCCCCATTTCACAGCAGAAATAGTTGTAAGAATCTCTTGAAAGCATTTCTAAATTTTACAGAAAGGGAATGCATGAAGAAGGGAAAGCAGGAAAAGATTTTCTGCTTTGGTTTTGAATTTGAACTAAACACAACTTCTACAGCTGGAAAGTCTGCTTTTCCGGCTGAATCTAGAGAAAGCAACTGTGTAGAGGCAACTGCCCTATGTAGAGCTTTTCTCATTGCTTTAATAGCCTTTAAAGAGACACCAGCAGGATGGTAACAGTAAGTTAAGTTAATACCATTTTATTGTATTTAATTTAGCTTTACAATCCTTAAATGTCATTCTTGCATAGTTAGCGCATAGTTCTACTGCTGGGTAGAAAGGTGGAGGTTTTCTTGCTCTTACAGCACCTCACTTTACCTTAATATATTTTGGATTATTTTAATTTTAGACTGTCTCTGTGCTTTCTGGATTTATAGTGTGAGGCTTTGGGATACTTACAAAATCTTTTTTCATTCTTTACTCTTAAATTACTGAGCAGAAGTTAATGTAGGTGTTTTTGTTTGAAAATAATGAGAATGGCTGAGTAATATCCTGTGTGAAATGAGCACAAGACTCTTGGTTCTAGTTTATAATAGACAGATACTTACATCAAAGAAAATAGTGCTGGTACCATTTTACACCATATTCAAGAGTGTTAACAGAGATGCTAAAGACTTAACAGAAATTTAATTTTTGTCTTATTTCCCTTCAGTCCAGGGCAGGTTTATGGTTTATGCAAGTGCTGTAGTGGCAGTAACTAAAGCACAGTGATTCTTCACTCGTCTTTCTACCAGTATGCATTTCATTAGTTTTGTAGGTATAATGTCTACCTACCTCTCACGGTTCCTTTTTAAAGTGAAGTCTTAACGCTATAATTTAGTAGGAATATAATAAACTGAATAGTGTGTTTGAGAAGGATAAAGCAGAGTGTTCAAGACAGCTTCACCACATCAACATTATAGAGGCTGAGAAGGAAAAGTATTCAAATAAAAAAATTGAACCACTAAAATTTTACAGCAGTTTGCCCTTTATTCTGCACAAAGGCTACAACGAGAACTTATTTTATTCATCTTATCAGGCAGAAGAAGAACAACAAAAGGAAAAAGATTTTTTAAAGAGAAAGCTAAACCTCCCGGCAAGAAGGAGAACCTCCCTAGAGCCAAGACAGCTGAGAAAGAAAGGAAAGGAAAAAAGACAGAAGTAGGCCCTCTAGCACCAGTCACTGTTAAAAAGGACACCCAACTGAAGCGACGGGGAGAAGTGGAAGAGGAAGACAAATACATTGGTATGTAAAAAATGTAGATATACTCCTGATAAACTTGCTAGCAATCTTGCAGCCTAGCTTCTAACCAAGTACTTTGTTTTGTTCCACGTTGAAAAGTCAAGATTTATTTGGCAATATTAAAGCATTGCCACTTTGCATTTGAAGAGGGCGTTGTGTTCTGCTCAGTATTAGGATAGATTGTACAGTCCAAGAAATAAAATACAGATGAGGTATATGTAGCATGTCGACATGAAAATGTTTTAGCATGTGTAAGACTAAAATAAAGTGGCTAAACAAATCCTACAGAAAACCTTTCTTACAGAAAGATTTTGGAATAACTAAATGCATTTGTGTCAGTATCCAAAGGCGGCTTTCTCCTTGTATTATAAAGTATAACAGAGCTGTCTACCATTGTCTGGGGATGAAGCCAGGTTCTGTACAAAGGGCAATATGATTTCATTTGCTGTAAAAATATATGGATAGAACTGAGACCTGAAGAAATCTACTCCAGAAATGAGCTATACAAAGTAAGGAATAATATGCTAACTAGTGCTGAGAAAATCTTTATTTTTAATACATAACCCATGGTTACGAGTTTCATTGGAACAAAAAATATTGGAGAATGTGCATAGCTCTCCTCATTAGATCACAGTTATATTTAATTTGGACCGTAATATGTTTGAGCTACATCAACATAAACAGGATCTCTCCTGCTGGAGAAGTACTTGCTGATTTTTGTATGCATTATGTGTAACTGCTATTCCCTAGTCGAACTGCTGCAGGCTTTCCTCGCTCTTTCATCAGACCTTTGTCTGCATCTCATTCGAGATCAATGGCACTCTTCAGGCGTCTAAAAAGCATTGGTCCAGGTGTTTAGAGCAAATCTTGAATCTTAGTGAAGCTGACAAAAGTACACAAGAACAGAACAGTAGCTACCTGAGCATATTTCCTCATTTTTTCAGATAAGGCTTGGCTATAACATAATTCTTTTGATAATTTTAAGGTTTTTCAGGGCCTGAAAGAAGTTTTCAAAGAAATATTCATGCCTTTAAGAATGCAAGCTGAAGCGATGTAGAGAACTCATGTCATCTTACTGAAATTTGTACAGAATGTACAGTACAGAGTGGTTTTGGGTGGGTATTAATATGCTTCCACTGGGCCCCATAGGAACAATTTTACCAGCTCCAACGTTTTTGCTCCCTACTGCCTTGAGAGGTGGGCAGAAAACATCAGGTACCTGTATAAGATATCCATGCTTTGCTGCCTTGTTAGTCACAGCTAATGAGAAGACAAAGTAAGGAAAATACAAATTGCCTCCAAAAACTAACAGCCATGAAAAGTATCCTTGTTTAGTATGCTTAGTAGCTTTATATTATGAACTACTAGCACTGCTGTTAAACTATGATTTTATTGACTGGGATTTGTCTCATTAGTCCCAAGGATATTTACAAAATAGCAATAGTTGCACATTGCCTCAAAGGAGAAGTTGTTGAGGTATTTTGCACTTGGTCACCTGTGCTGTATTTAATTTTACAGTCATGACTGTACTGAGCTGAAGCTGTTCTGAACAATTTACCACATTCGTTGTGCATCCAAACAGTTGGGCTTAATAATAAACAAATTGATTCCGACTCATACAAAAAAAATTGTATTCAGTGAATTGATTTCCAGACTGAAGACTATAAGGAACTACCTAACAACGGAAAAGCTAATCTGACCTTGCTACTTCCTTTAGTCGTACTGAGGAAGACAGTGAGGAGGAAGCTATAGCCCTAAGACAGGACAGCACCCTGCAAATCCTTCCCCTAAGCTACAGGAAAAATACAACTATTTTTTTATGGAGAGGTAATTGTTTCTTCAGTCTTCCTGACAGTTCCACCTAGAAGTCCATACCAAGAGAAAATTAACTCAAGTATTGCCAAAACTTCTGGAGGCCATTCTAAATGAACATTAAGTGTGGTGAAAAAACTCATTAGGAATTTCTATCTTTCCTTGACAACATGGCAATTAAGGTTCTCAAGGACCTCAGGCTAACGCTTTGTTTTGTGTCTTGGGACAAAGTGGTGCCAGCTCCATTTCTCAGTGTCAAGAAGATGTAGATCTATGAAACTTTTCTACCGAGAATGTAGTACTCTCAAAACTTTCATGCATATTCCCTATTTTACAAGAGTCTGAGCAGAAGACACAAGGAACCTTCGATGATCCTTAAAGTTGATACAGTGAAAAGTTATTTTCAGCACTCTTGGCCACTCTAATATAGCTTTATCAAGGGGAAAAAAAAAAAAAAAAGAAAAATGCCACAATTTTTACTCAAGAGTAGTCTGAGCTATTGCTTATATATGACCATGTCTTGAACTCAAAGACAATCTGTATCTGTTTCTAGTAGGTAACAGTCATTTTGTCATTCGTCCCTAGTACATTATCACATTTCTGAAATGGAATATTTCTGCTTTTGAGTAATCTTGAGATTACTTGCATTGATGTCTTTCATCATTTAAGTGTGAACTAGTCACTGATTATCAGAACTGACTGATTATTATCAACTTGTCATGATTGTTAGCATAATCATAATTATAACTGTTGAGTGGCAGGCAGTCTTTCTTTTCAGCATGTATGCATTGGAATTTTTGGATCTCTGTAAGTCTCTATGCAGACATCTGTCTTTTTTCTTAGAAATCATTAATGCTCAGTAATTGTATGTGCTTGTGCTTTTTCTTCCTGCAGTAACCAAGGCATCAGAATATGTGGTTCGGTTTCAGTACTAGCAGTGATACAATGGACTAGTTTTCTTCTGGTTTTGATTTTGCTTCATGCAATATATGTACTGGACTGTGGTGGTTGCTTCCTCAGTCAGTCTTTCTCCAAATTCCCAAGTTCTTTTATGTTTACCTAATGTTACAAGAAGAGGAGAGACAACCATGTTGGCAGCCTGCTGCTCCAGGTGGTAGCAGCATTTGCTATATACCTGAGCACAGGCAGATGTCAGTGGCAGGCTACCTTTTTTTCCTGCCCTTTTATCTCTCTTGGATGAATGAGTCCTGTGAGCTGAGGAGTGGCCAAAGGACTTTTAAGTGTGTTGTGTTAGTAGGCATAAGAAAAAATCCTAATGCTAAATAGAATATAAAACTGTATTTTGTTGTTAGAGCAGGATCTGCACTAATTGTATGTGTTACATAGTTGATGAAGACATACAGGAACTTCAGCAGGCAGTTTCTGTTGTCTTAGGATAGATAACTATGCTGGATGAATTAAATCACCTGATACCTGTCTGAATACCTGTATTTCTGCATGGGCCGTAAAGGGAATCTACACAAGTAACTTAGACTAGAGTCAAGCTTCTAGAGGGCTCGTTTTTACTTACATAATGCTTAACCTTTTGCTTTGGTACTGAAACATTGCCATGTGTATTTCTACAGAAGTAATAAGCCCAAACAGAGCAGGCACTCAATGAAACTTCTCATCTGTACTTTAGGATGAATTTGGATATGCCCCTTGCCAACGAAAAGGATTACTATGAGCTGGTATTACCAGCTGATGAGGGTTTTGACAGGGAGTCCATCTAGCAAACATGAACCTGTTGGGCAGGGAGCAGTCAGCAGTGAGTCAGCTCATACCTGCAGCTAATCCTTCAAAACTCTTACAGCTAATATAATCTCTCAGCTAAGACACAGTAACTTAACTCTGTGTGTGCTCCGTGGCCAGCTTTATGCAGGATGAAATAGGATAGCTTAAACTACCATTAGAGCTTGTGAGTATGTCGTGACACTAAACTCCTTCTTAAAGAGAAGCAGTTAGAGAAATGCTGCTACAACTAGCATTCTGGTTATAATCAGCTTCTGCAATTTTTCTCTTGGTGCTTCTCCAAACAAATTTTCTGCTGAGTTCTAGGTGGTTTACTACAGAAGACTTCAGTCTAACGCACATAATATTTTGAAACTTATATGTAATTATCCCAATGAGGTTATAAAAGAACCGTTTCTCTGTTTCTCTGACCTTAATTTGCAGTATCCCTATATAGTCAAGAAGAAAATCAATTTTTTTAGCTGTTGAATGTCCTAATCTGCTCTAATCTGTTTTTGTTGTGTTTTGAACAGATGATGAACCAGATGATGGTGCCCATCATTACTTTATAATTTTGGATTTCCACAACCCTCAGCTGTTGCCTGTGATGTCTGAGCTTGGGATTAACATTTCAAGTGTAATTAGAATTTCTTCTGAGAATTATAAGCCATTGCAGACATACTTGAAAACAACGAAACTTCAGGAACAATCTTTACTTTCACCTGAAGGTAATCCAGTCATAAGAACAAAATTTGTGTAGAAAGGAGACTATTTTATATCCAAGTAAAGACTGTTCCTGCTGTGTTTTTCTTCCTCTCTGTGCCTTGTGTTTGTGCATACTACCTGTGAGCAGGTGTGTTTGCCAGTGCAAAAATGGTATTGCCATTGGTTTGGTCACCAAACCAAATGGTTTGCCAGTGCAAAAACTTGCCTCAGCTGGACAGTGGAAAGAGGGACTAATGGAGCAGGCAGTGGTTGCAGCCATAGTTTTCTGCAGTAGCCACCAAAGAACAACATCTTATCAAATGCATACTTCTATGAATCGTTAGCCAGGAAGGTGTGTTGCTAATCAAACTTGGCTCATTTGGTAACTTCAAGGGAGGTACACAGCTGGCTACTTTGGGACTGTGGCCCCAGCCAGAGAAGAATACGCCACAGAATAACACCCTGCAATTGTACTCAGCTGTCCCCAGGCTGTAACACCTCTCTCGAACGGGGATCATGGTGAACAGCAGGCTAAATATGAGTCATCAATGAAAGCTAACCATACTGAGCTGTAGTAACATAGCCAGTAGATCAAGGGAAGTGGTTATTCCCGATTACTTGGCTCTCATGAGACCAGAGTTCCGGGCTCCACAGTACAAGAAAGATAATAATAAACTTGAGTGAGTCCAACAGACAGCCACCCTATGAGGAGTGGCTGAACGATCTTGGCTTGCTTGATCTGGAGAAGAGAAGGCTTATGGGGCACCTAGTAGCATCCTTCTAACACCTCTGAGAAGGTTACCAACAACACAGAGCAAGACTCTTCACTGAGGTACCTGGAAGAAGAAATAGAAGTTGTGATCATGAATGGCCTTTGGAAATCCCAGGTCCCAGAGACAAGGGGAAAGTCTGGAGCAAGGAAGACATGCCTTTGGTGGAAGAGGATCAGGTCAGGGAATACTTAAGCAAGCTGGACATATGTAAGTCCATGGGACCTGATGTGATGTACCCACGAATGCTGAGGAAGCTGGCTGGGATGTCACTGCGAGGCCACTCTCAATAATTTTTGATCGATCAATTGGAAGAGGTGCCTGAGGACTGGAGGAAAGCAAGTGTCACTCCTGTCTTTAGAAATGGCGGCAAGGAGGACCCAGGGAACTAAAGGCTGCTCAGCCTCACCTCAATCCCTGGAAAGATGATGGAACAGCTAATCCTGGAAACAATTTCCAAGCACATGAAGGACAAGTAGTTGGTCAGTCAGCATGGATTCACCAAGGGGAAGTCATTCTTAACCAACCTGATAACCTTCTGTGATAAAATGACTGGCTTGGTAGATGAGGGGAGAGCAGTGAATACTGTCTGCCTTGACTTCAGTAAGGACTTTGGCACTGTCTCCTCATAAAGAAGCCAATGAAATACAGGCTAGATAAGCAAACACTGAGGTGGATTGAAAACTGGCTGAATAGGCTGGCCTCAAGGGTAGTGATCAGTCGTATGAAGCCTAGTTGGAGGCCAGTAACTAGCGGTGTACCCCAGGTGGTAATACTGGGTCCAGTCCTGCTCAACATCATCATGAATGATCAGGATAGTGGGGCAGAATATACCCTCAGCAAGTACTCTGATGATACAAAACTAGGAGGAGTGGCTGAAACACCAGAGGGTTGTGCTGCTGTTCAGAGGGACCTCAACAGGCTGGAGAAATGGGCTGGCAGGAACCTCATAAAATTCAAGAAGGGCTAAAATTAAAGAGCAAAGTCCTGCACCTGGGGAGGAATAACCCAATGCACCAGTTCATGGTGGGAGCTGACCGGCTGGAAAGCAGCTTGGCAGAAAAGGGCCTTGGCGGGGGGTCCCTGGTGAACACCAAGTTGAACATGAGCCAGCAATGTGCCTTTGTAGCTAAAAAGGCTAATGGTATCCTGGGCTGTGTCAGGTCAAGGGAGTTGCTCCTTCCTTCATAAAATTCAAGAAGGGCTAAAATTAAAGAGCAAAGTCCTGCACCTGGGGAGGAATAACCCAATGCACCAGTTCATGGTGGGAGCTGACCGGCTGGAAAGCAGCTTGGCAGAAAAGGGCCTTGGCGGGGGGTCCCTGGTGAACACCAAGTTGAACATGAGCCAGCAATGTGCCTTTGTAGCTAAAAAGGCTAATGGTATCCTGGGCTGTGTCAGGTCAAGGGAGTTGATCCTTCCTTTCTACTCAGCACTGGTGAGGCCCCACCTGGAGTCCTGTGTCCAGTTCTGGGCTCCCCAGTACAGGAGAGAGATGAAGCTACTGGAGAGAGTCCATCGAACGACCACAAAGATGTTTAACTGACTGGAGCATCTCTCATATAAGGACAGGCTGAGAGAGCTGGGAATGTTTACCCTGGAGAAGAGAAAGCACAGAGGGATCTCATCAATGTGAGAGCAGTGGAGTTGTACCAGATGCCCTCCAGAGGTCCCTTCCAACATCAACCGTTCTGTGATTCTGTAATCGAAATAGAAGATTCTGGCAAGATATAAGACGCGGGGGAATTACCCCAAAGACTGTCAAGCATTGCAACAGGTTGCCTGGAGAGGTTGTGGGATCTGTGTCTCTGGAGATTTTCAAGACTGAGCTAGGTAAAGCCCTGAGCCTGTTGTCTGAATTTCATGTTGACCATGCTTTGAGTAGGAGATTGAGGTCTCTTCCAACCTGAATTATTTTAAATCTAAGTCAAAGTCTGGTGGTAAATAAGTGTAGGTGAGAAGACTGGGTTGGTAGCCATAATTGTTCATACATGTGTTATTGAGTAATAATTATGGTTCTAATTATAACTGTGCATATTGACTTTCTGCAATGTTCTCTGTGGTGCTGGGAAATCCCTTGCGATGGATTCTGACACTATTGAGATGGCACGAGCAACCCAGTAAATGAGAGGAATGGTGTCCTGGGTATGTTGGGCAGGAGAGAGGACTATGGGGGTTTGTTTATGTTGGAGTGCTGAAGGACATGAGGTGGGATGGTGTGACTCACTGCCATTCTGACCACTGATGAATACAAACCAGTTACCTATGAGTATTGTGAAGGCTGAACTATCTCAGTGTGATATTCCTTCCTTCCCATTCGTGTTGACAAAATGAGATACTTATACTGCCTCATGGCAAATGCTACAGGTTAGATTGTGTGGGCACTAGGGAATCTGTTCCCAAAGGTGCCAAGATGAGCTAACATGAATCACATACACTTAGCCTTTAAGACTTAGGCAAACACAGAACCAACTCATGGACTCAAAGAAGTAATGTCATGTTTGAATTTGTTTGATGAGCCATCTTATCTCTGGGAAAAGAACGAGAGGAAAACATAATTTCCAGCTTCTTGTAGTTTTGTTAGAACTTGCAAAATTTGAAGGTAATGTCTTACTAGAAAATAGTTGAAAGTGCAGAGAGCAGAAAGCATGGGTTTGTTTATTTTAATTTTATTTACAACACCTGCTGGGGGTGAGGGGGCAGGGACAAGTTTCCCCAGATATTTCCAAAGTTCTATTATCTTTTCTTTGTCTTGTATGTATAATAGCAGGAAGACTTTAGTAAACTTAGATAATTAGTAAGTAAAATTTGTGAGGAAACTTTAAAGGGGAAAAAATGTAAACATAGATGATAGTATCTTGTGTAAGTAGTATTATAGGGAGTAATGCAAGTTTTCCCTGTTACTAAGAAAGAATAGGTTGCATAGTAAGAAAACAGCTTGGCTAAACCATGCATTATTTGTGGACCACAGATATAAGGAAGCATTTAAGAATTAGAAATAGGTCAGGTCACTAGGAATGAGAATATATGTTTATTATGAGCCTATTGACACAAAATCAGAAATGCCAAGATACAAAATGGGATGCAGGAGGAGGACCAAGGAAAATGTTTGTCTGCTGCTCAACAGAAAGGAAGAACTGTCAGGAGGTGATCCTGAGAAGGCTGGCACTGGTTAATGTTTGGGCGGGGCTTTTGGTACTCCTTGCTGGCATGTGTGTTGTGGGGACTTAATCGGTTTTCACTACAAATACCATTGCAGACAGGTCATAGTTATAACTAACCACAATTAATGCTGGTAGCAGAAAGATTCAGCTTCAAATCGTGGAGGAACAGGTAAAATAATTGAGTACTACTTAGGTAAGGTAGAGAACTTTTCAGATCAGCTGATTCAGATTAACTTAAATTGTATTCTGCTTAAAGATCTGCCTGCCATTCTCATTTATATTTGAGAACTCATAAAGAGCAAGTGAGATAGTGGAAAAAGAACTGTGAGGAAGAGGAACACAAATAGTCAAGGCAGTGTAATCCTCTTAATTTCTGTGTCTGGAAAAATACTGGAACGAATAATTTATAACCAGTTAAAAGAAAAATGAGGAGATGAGTAACAGCTAGTGTATGCTGTTCAAGAACAAATCAAGTCAGACAAGTTTAATTTCCTTACAAAATGAAGTACTGGCCTTCTGAGCAGAGGAGTAGTCTCTGTTGTATATTTGGGTTTTAATAAGGCTGTTTCACATGGCCCACAGTGAGCAAGGCAGGTCTAGATGAAAATAAATATATAGTAGGTGCAGTTTCATTCAAAAATCTTGGCCTCTGTAGAGTAACTGTTAAAGGTTTACTATCAAATAGAAGGATGCATGGAGCGGACTCAAGGGAATTTGTGCTGGGTCTGGTATTAGTATTGTCATGGGTGTTGGCATAAGGGGGAATAAGGATTCAAATGCAAAATGTTATTGACAGAATAGAGAATAATAATCTGGAAAAAAGACTATTCTGTTTAATATGGACGATATAGTATGCTTATACAGGAATAATTAAATATACAAATAAAGGCTAGGAAACACATGGCTAGATGACAGGTTTGAAAGATAAACTACCATGCTGACTTCAAAAATGAGCGTAAGTCAGCAATATCACTATGCCACTAAAAAACAAATACCATCTCCAGATTATAAATGAGAATATGTCCTAAAAAGTACCTGAAGTAATCTTATCATGCAACTCAATAGCGAGGTAAGACCTTGTAAGAAATGTGTGCCAATCAGAAAAATTCCAGAAAAGAAAATTATTAGGGATCTATAAAATTTTACCTATGAGGAAAAAAAAATTGAATTCTTATCCTTAAGTTTAAGAAGAGAAGGCTGAATGATGTAGTAGAGAAATGATAAAAGTTTTCAAGTTTGTGAAAGGCTAGAACAGAAAATGAAAAGTTTAAATTGTAATAGAGAAAATACAATTTAGCAGGAAGAAACATTCCACAGGTGAGGTTAGTGAAGTACTGAAGTAGACTGAGTAGGAATATTATTGAGACTTAGAGGCTTTTAAGGTTATATTAAGATAAGTATTTGTCAGCAGTGATACAGGTATAGTTAATTGTGCCTTGGAGCAGGCATTAATTCAAGTATTTTGTAGCTGAATGACTTACAAAATAGATCATGACTTACAAAATAGATCGTGGTTGATCATTTCAATAATGTATGGAGATATTTTTAGAAGAGAAGTCGTTAACCTGTAAATGCAATCATGTTACAGTGTTTCTGTTGTTCCTAGCATGAATGCACATGAATCATGGATTAGGGACCACAGCTTTCATGTTCTTTTCCTTCCCAGGTGTTTGCATCCCCTAATGGCTTTCATTTTGTGATGTTACCAAGTCAAGCACTCTTAGTACCCTTTCATATGGTTAGTTTTCTGTTCCTTTAATCACTGTAGTAGCTGTGCTACTACTAATTCAGCTTTTCTGAGAGCTAAAGAGAGAATTCAGACCAATCTCTCAGCCTGACAAAATGGAATTCATTTTTCCCCATTTCTGCTGGAAACGTGTGACCTGACACATCCTAGTGATTCGAGGATTTCTGTTTTCACGTGATGATTCAAAATCACTATGCAATGTGTTAGTATACACTAGATGCTTTTCTTCCACTATTATATGCTGAAAACAGATTTTGTTGTTGTTCCAAAATCATGTAGTGTACTGCTGGGTATTGTCTCATTTCTGTTACTGAAGACTTCAAGGTAATTCAGTTCCTCTGTGGGTTGTGCCAAATCTCTTCTGTATTGACAGTTTTTCCCAGCTCCTGCACCTTCTTTTGGAGCTACTCATGAAAACTTTAATTCATTCTGAGAGGGCTTACATGATGAAAATATACTTGAAAGAAAAGCCTTAGGACTGTAGGCAAAAGAATTAAGAGGGGAGGCAGTAGTCAAGGGCAGAGCATCCAATGATTGATCCTGGCAAGCTGTGATATTTCTGTGAACGGAAGCCTAAGTGTCATAGACATTTTTTGTGTTTTTTATTATTAAACTATGGGGCGGAGTTAGTAAAATGTTATTATTCTTCTATTGTAAAACAGGAGTGACTAGCTACAATGCTATTAGCACAGTGCCATTCACCTTCCATTCAAAAATGCAAAGAGATTAATCCATTGAGTGAGCAGCCCTAGATGCTGTTACACCTCTGAGATGTGCTTTCAAAGCTGAGTTTGTTAGGGGACATTGCCACAGGTGAGGTATTGTCCTGAATTAGAGGATATCTTTCATGAGCAGATGAAAAGCAAAAAGAAAGGATGATCCTGTGACTAAGATGAGCTGTTAGGAGCATAGAACTGTTTAAGATCAAGGGACCATCTAGGCCGTGATCTATCTCCAGAAGTGCTCGTAAACTGATGCCCAAGGGACAGTAAAGGAAAGGAATGGAAGAAAAAGGAAGACAGTAGTAGGAAAAGCATGTGTGAAACTTCTCAACACATGCATCACCTAGCCACCAGTTATTTTCAAGTCAGGGGGTTTTCCTGATCCTGATGTGTTTTGTCTTTTTAGTAAACCTCAACAGATTTAGTCTGTTTGTTTCCTACGTACTTATTCAGTCTCCCCTTGAACTCAAGAGAATGTTTTACACCTACAGAATCTTTTGGCAGAGTTTCCAGGTCTTCTACCCAGTTTCTGGAGTCACTTAATGGGACATATCTTCCAAATCACGATAAAACCATTTTATAAGTTAATTGGTAAACATTTCTGATGGCTGCTACAGGAGTCACATATAACTTGGAAAACCTTAAGGAGATCAGCATTTTTGGAAGAGTCCACAGCCTCACTGAGTTGTTTTGTTTTAAACCCGTGGGGCCACTAGAATTACAGAAGTGAGGTACTTGGCCTTCATACTTAGGTTTTGGAAGTGCTGAGCACCTGTAAGTCCAAATGAAGGGAAGTCACGGCAGGTTTAGTGTCCTTACATCTCTTAAATTAGTCTACAAAAAGTATAGTTCATCTTGGATTCCAGAGTGTGATTGTAAGGTTGGCATTAAGAGAGAACTTCTTTTTTGCTCTGTAGCTAGAGCACCTTTGAAAATAGATCACTACTATGCAGTAAAAATGGAAACCATGCAACTTCTAGGCTTGCTATTCATAGTAATGCTGTACCTTAATCTCCTTTTGCCCCAATTTCCACACCAATAAAATTGTGATAATAAGACTCGCTTAGCCTATACTTAAAGAAAAGGTTTGTCAAGGTATGTGCTGGCAGCTTTGGAAAAGTGCAACCTGTTTTTTTACATTTCCTAGGTTTCAAACATTCCCTGCTGTTGGTTTAGTTTGGGGGGAGATGGAGGTGGTTCTGGTTTTGGTTTTGTCTTGTTTTTTTTTAATTTTTATTTCTTCTGAAAGAACTACCATGTTTTACTGAGGCTTTATCTTCCTGGAGTTTTTTAATGCCAAAGTTAGGTGTCGGACTCTGAGGATGGGAATATTTTAACAGTACTTATGGAAGACTAATATATGATTTGTGCTTTCTGTGAAAGGGAGACATTGTACCACGATTTATCTAATACTTATAAATTTTAGTTGTAGAAGCAGAGAAAAGAAAGAAAGATGAAGCTATCAAAGACCTGGAAACATTTTGGAAATACCTGGAGCCAGTTCTGAACAGTGGAAAGTACGGATCAAGTCTCTTTGATGTTGCCACACTTCATCACCTAGTTAAGGAGAGTGCCTTTCCCCCTGATTGGTCTGACAGAGAAATGCTGGTCAGTAGATTCTGCTTTCACAATGCATGGCATGCTTTGGGGTTTGTAACATTTAAGACCAATTTAGAAATGACAGGAATTTTAACTTAGTCTTCTATGAAACAGAACCAGAGTAGTTAGTGTATTTGTAATCTTGAAAAAAAAATATTTGCTATGTATCCAACAAGTTTTTCAGCATGTATTCACAAGGAGTCTTTTGAATAAAAATACCTGACTTGGAGTTTCTTAATATTGTAGGCCACAGCAGCAGAGTTTTAAAAGAGTTTGAGATATTAAATTCATTCACCATCTTTACATAGACCCAGTTTGGATCTCATTAGAGAGTCAGATGTCAGTATGAAATAATACAAAAATTATATTTTTGTCCTCATAACAGCAGGTCTACTTAGTCTCAGAACCATCACATGAGAACAAATTAAAATAAATGCAAGAATGCTTTTTGATATACAGTATTGTTTTAGCATATCCAGTACCGCTTCTTTTTGTCCAACCCAAAACATGGCTCTGGCTTATTACTCATTATAGCCTGCTGAGTCAGGACTATTACTGGGCACTGGAAGAGAAAGTGAACCATTAGAAATTTTTTCCAACTTAGGTTCTCAAGTCTAGTGAGGTAAAAGGGTCCAGTATTTTTCAATCCACAATGACAGCAGTAAAAAATATAAACTGCTAAAGCAGAATAAAGCAACATGCCATAATTTAACCTACTGTATTTGTGGTCTATATTATTAGGGTTAAAGGACAGACTACACCCTCGTAACACTTATTTATAGTACATTAAATCCTGCATATAAACAATCTGGTAAGCTGGGAAGTACCCTTGATCCTGAAGGGATCGGAACAGAGTTTGGCTAAATCCACAGTGGTTTCCAAGGCATTCACTAAAAGTGCCTCAATTGTGGAAGCGTGTAGGCTTGCTACTTACAATGTTACTTATTGTTATACTCTTGATCTAATCTTAAAATATGAAGCCTATTTTGGGAAAGAAGTTTTTTTAATTTTGTCTATCTTCCCCATAATGACATCTTATAGGAGACTGTTGCTACTCGTGAATATCCTGCGAGCAGCTATACTGTAGCTGAAATAAAAGAAAAATGATCTGTCACTGAAATTGTTCCAGCAGATTGTAGTTGTAATTTCACATTCTTCTGTATCTCAAATTTAGCAGAGCTCTAAAGAAGTAGGAACATTTGTAAGTTTTTAAAGAAACAGATGGGAAGAATTAAGTTGTGAAATCGTAGGTGGATAGAGATACTCTAGTGGACTTCCTGGGGAGTGTCCCAGTCCTATTTTGCTGCATCTCTGAAGTCCAAGATATACAGAAGGAAAACTCTTGTGACAGATTGTTACACATTGATAGAAAAATGATCAAGTATTATATACAGCAAGCACTTTCAGATTTCAATATTTAGAAAGGAAAATATTTTCAAAAATTCTTTCCTTTGTTAACTCACTAGTGGTTAGACTCAGAGAACTTTTGACAAGCATCTGTGTCTGTCCTGAGAAGAGGAGAGAGCAAGTAAATTGAATGATAAAACTGTAATTATACATATAATATGGCTATACATATAATGTGGCTAAACTTTGCATATGTCCCATTGAGTAGAGCCAGGTTGTGTTACTTGTAACTTTGTAAAAATTCTTGTTTAGTTTAAAAGATTGTGCATTCAAAACATTGCAGAACTTAACTGAAATTTTCATGTGCTCTAGTGATCTCTTGTAAGTAATATAATGAATGGAAGGTTTTTGTACTAACCCGTTTTTCAGAAGAGTATTGAATTGGAAAAACAAAGGTGCAAGAATATTAACTCTGAAAATTCTGTTTTCACAAATAGAGCTTCTCTCCCAAATATCTCCTCTAGCATTTGAATGTTATGAAAACTGAGACAAGTATTCCATAACTGATCAGTGATATGGGGCGCTTGTTTTGAAGTGCCGTAAAGAGGGTCTGAGTTGAAGAAAGCAGATACTTAATACTTCTTAAGGGTCAGTTAATATATTTAGTGCCTAATGACAGTTGTGCTTCTTCACCATGTTTCATTTTTGGAAACATAAAATTGAGACATCCAATGTTGATAGCCACCTCTTAGAGGCAAATTTCTTAATACAAGAGACTTCCCCTACTTTCATAAAACTGAAATAATCACTCAGAAAAGGGCTGTTGACATGAATTGTCTAAAAATTATAATAATCTTTTTCACAATGTCTAGGATGTACAGGGGAAGAATACATCCATTAAAGCCAGTGAAACTTGAGTGTGGCATGTGGTCTTAGATAGGGTTTTGGTATTTGTACAACAACATTTCATATTTAAAACAGTGGTTGGTATTATTCTTTTTATTCCTCTCAAGCCTCGGTGAAAACCACAGTACACCACCTCTTTTCCCTGCCAGACTTTTGCAGATAGAGCACTCTCCCTTTGGGTATTCGGCTGGTATGCTGACATTCCTTTGCTTGCACAGCTATGGAATTCAGAGTTCAGTACTTGAGGCTTTCTTTGTTTTAAAAGGGCAACAGAAAGAAAGAAAATAATATGTGATGCCATTGATTAGTTGGTTGTTTTTTATTATTATTTTTTATCTTTCTGGGACAGGAGAATAGTTGACCTTGCAAATATGCTGCAGGTTGATCACGAGTAGAAACATGTACATATGATATAAAACAATTATTTTGTTACCTCTCCTTTTCTTCCCATCCAAAAAAATAACCTAAATTCCAGTTGCAAGAGAGCAGAGCTTGAACGGTTACTGTTAAGACACTTGTCTAACTTTAGACTTTGTAAGAACTAAAGCTGTTGGGCAATACTCAGTCCATACTGTGGTGTGGTAGTGTTTAGGCAAATAAAGATGAGGAGGCCTTGTTTTCTTAGAATAACTCTATAAAACATTTTGAATTAGTGGAGAAAAAATCCCCTGGAAGATTTTTAAACTGTTGTAGATCTGCTGGTTAGAGAGCTAATGACTCATGTGGCTAAGTTGCATGACACTTTTGTATGCAAACTTCATTCTCTGTATCTGATTTTCTGTCATAGCTTGCATTTGGCACTGCGCTGTTTGAAAGCATTGCTTGTTTAATGTATGACTGCCTGGACTGGCGAAGACAGCATTGTAACTACTTGGAAAACACCAAGTTTATTAATGTGCCTGCATTATCAGAGAGCAAATCGACACAACCACCTGTAACTGAGGCAAGGATCCTTTATGTTTTACCAAGCTTCTTGTAGGCAATAACTAGCTTTAGGCTAGAGTTGCTTGTCTTTAATTCTGCAATCAAAAATTCACCTTGGACCATCACTCCATGTGTAGTTTTTTGTGAATGATATTGGGATTTTTGTCTTCAGCATTTAAAACCTAAAAAATGGAAGAAAAAATAGCAGAGCATTGGGAAACAAAAAAAGGAAAATTTGAAGGATCATACAGGTGCTAGCATAAAGTACTACAGGTGTAAAAATTACTTAAATAGCTTCAGATGACACCTTCTTGTGTCTGAAAAAATCACTATGCCTGCAAGGCGCTACTATGTCTTGTTGCAGATCTGTGAACTATCCAAAAAAGATTATTACTTCTATCCAAGATCAGTTTTTTTATTTTGTTCATGGTAGACAAAAGCTTAAGTGGGCAGAAGAAAGTGGCTTATAGGACATAAACTAGTGGCAGGGAAAAAATGGGCTTGCTCCATTTGTAGCAGTACTACTGAATGCTCATTTAAAGCATTCATAAAATTACATTCTTACTATCTTGTTCCACTCAGTTAGGTGGGATTTGCCTCCCCTAATACCAGCCATTTAAAAGTTTAGCATCTAGTCTAGGGTAAGTAACCAAGGCTAAATGAAATGAATTTCTCCTACCTATTTGTGCAATTCTCATTTGTTCCAGTGTTTCTGAGGTTTTTTATCTTTATTTTTGTTCCTTTAGGTACAACCAGCATCACAGATGACGCCATCAAAGAAAAAAGGGCAAGCAGAAGAAATTCTGCCAAGAGTAATTTTGTCACAGGGTATGTCTAAAGGATTAAAGCACTGGTCTATAGCTCTTCACTCTGTCATACCGTTCATTCATCTGACAGCACAAATCCTTGAAATTATTTGCACAGTAAGCTGAAAATGTGATTTGACGTTGTGAGAGTAGTTTCTTGGTGAATACATTGTGAAAGTCTCTGGAAACTGACGTGGTGATAACTAAGTTCTTTAGAAAATCACTTTTTCTATCTGTTCCTAGTCACAGTCAGATTTAAGAGCTCTACAGTAATGGACTTTGTTAGTCTTTTTTAAGAAAAATTGTCTGAAAGTTGAACTAGCTGCTGATATAAATGGGCATTTCTGAAGAAATCAATCTTAATGTTTTATCTCTTATTACAACAGAGCAAGAAGCTTCTATTTTGGCTGCTTCCGTGGACATGAGGTATTACAATGACTTGCTGAGTCAGATTCCTGAGGAATACTTTTCTGTACCCTTAATGCTGAACTGCATGTTGGAACAGGTGGGAATATTCTCTTTATAATTCCTGTGGCTAATTCGGCTTAGACCTGGTATAATGAATTGATCAAAGATCAATAAATCCATCTGTTTCAGCCTAAAATAAGACTGTGCATGGAGGCACTGACTAAGGAGGTTCAATACAAAGGAGTCACAACTCAAAAGTGACTTCTTTGGTTTTCTTTCATGTTGTGCACTTACCTTGTATATGGAGTGTTATTCCAAAAGTTTTTTTTCAAGACTACAGATGCAATATAATCAAATGAGGAAAAAGGTGTAATTTCTTAAGTCAATAACAAGTTTTCATGTCCTGCAACAATGTTATTGATACTAACGAACTTCTACTGTTTTACTCAGTATAAAGGTCTTAGGGCAAGCCTAACATAGAAGTGGTGTATATCAATACTAGTGCTAGACAGATTTGACTTTTGTTGAGTTCAGGCACAATCTATGAGTTAGCAAAGTCCCACAGTATGATTTGGAAATCTTCCTTCTTTTAGAAATAGAATTTCAGCGCAATCTTATTTTTTTACTTTTTGCAATTTAGTCTGAAAACAGACTCAGGCAAAAATACTCAAAATAAGGTCCAACACTTGATACACAATCAGTTTTTAATTATCTGTGTTCATTAACAATTCTTAACATTTCAAGTTGGAAATATTTTTCTTCTCATCCTTCCAAAAGTGAATAATAGGAGAAAACATTTAATTCCATTTTTCATAATCTTTTTTTTTGGGCAGGAACTAAGATGGAGAATTGCATTTTTACTACTTGTAGAAAAAAAAATGATGGTTTTCTTTCCTGACAAAATTTTTGGATGTGTGTTTAGCTTATAGCAGGACCTGCTTGGTAGTTTTGAAGAAGTTAAGCAGCAGTCATACTGTAATGAAAGCTAACGTATATCATGTTTGCCAGGTTATTGCAAGTGAAGAAGACCTTACACCACCTAGTCTAGTGGTGCCAGAGCCCCGAGCAGATGGGCTACATCATACCATTGCAGATCATATAGCCTCTGTCATTCCTTCTCTTTCACTTTCTGAGAGTGAAAAAAAGGTTTGTGTTGTCTTTTGTTCATTTCCTAAAATGACAAATAAATCTGATTGTTGGGGTTTAATACATCTTTCTTGTTTTAACAGAATCTATATGACTACTTTTCTCCTAAATACAGTGAAAAAAAGACTGTCACCCCCAAGTACCCTCTCTTATTTAACTACCATGATACCCTGGCTCAGCGGTTGCACCTGCTGAAGGTATAGTGCTGCCTATCATATATAAACAGTTCTTAAGTCCACAGGCAGTGAATACTCAATGCACTAGAAAGGATGGAGTGGTGTTTTTACAAAGCAGAACAGTATAGCTTTTTTTTTCTGCTGAGATAGACACACTAACACATGTGTTTAGTCTGCTTAAGAAGCAGTGAGTTACTGCTACTAACAGAGAACACGTCACAAACATAGAGCATTATATTGATTTCAGTGATCTGTTTGCATTATTAATAAGAATGTTTAGCCTTTGGCATAGATGAGAGATATTACAGAACTCTGTTGATTTACTGTAACACTGAAACACTGATGAAACTGCAGAAAATTAATTATTAACTTGATATCAATGATTTAGCATGTAGACTAGATTAAATACTAAGATGTAGAGAATTATAAGAAAAGATACAGAGTTTGTTAGTGAACACAAGAAGTGTGCTCAGGTTGGCTAAATAGTTGGAGCATAGTGTATACCCAAGACATTGCCAAATTCTAACAAAGGCAGAAAAGTCCAGAGATTGCAAGGTTTGGCATTATTTCAAAGTAACAGTTCCCAGACTTTCTGAACCAAAAAACCACTATGAATTCCTCTAATTTTTCCAAAGCCAGGGTGTAGTTTTACCATTAAACTTCGAAAATACTCTGAAGGCAATACAAGTGATAATACAGTTCTAGATTTCACAGCTAAGGTGTATCTGCCTGGCTTCATGAATTACAAATTGTCTGTGGAATACTTTGACAACCATTGATTAAAACAATATTCAGAAACAAATCGAGCTTGACACATTGGAGGTCCTCAAGCAGAAGGCAGGACAGTAATCACAGAGAGAGATGCTCTTAGCAGACATATGCTTGATGTATATGATGTACTTGCTGCAGAGGAGGTTCAGGATATAGCACAACATTTGAGGAGTGGATAGAGGAAAAAGATTTGGAAGATACGGTCCAAGAAAAAGGTACTGTAAGAGTGTAATACTAAAAAGAGCGAAGGTGAAAGATACCAGTAAGTCTCAAAAGATAAAACCTTAAATATATGGGGATGCTGCAGTCACAGACTAATTAATGAGTTTACAGAGTTCATTACTATGAGAAGTAGCACAGACCAGCTGAAAGATATGTGGAAGGTACCTGCTGCCTGTCTGAATAGATTGGTACATATTTCTGTATTCCTGAATTTTTGAGTCTAGCTAGCACAGGCAAATATCTTCTAACAAGTGTCTGTTATTATGCCATTAGTTATTCTCTTACGTATCTCATTTTTTCTGCCTAAAATATCTGACACCATGGTTCAATAACACACTGTGAGCACATGCTCAAATTTGATTTTTTGTCCAACTGACTTAAGCACATGCTTATGTCTTTTGCTGTAAAAAGGCTTCTTTATTCAAACATGATTTTTAGAAATCTACTGGTGTGAAGGTTTACTTTAACTGTGATACTTTGGTTTTTGTTCCAGGTCCAGGAGAACTTAAATCTAGAAAAGATTGAACGTGAAATGATGGATAAACTGCCTCTTACAGAACTTATCCATTTCACCCTTCCTTCAACTGAAAACAACACTAAACGCTTGGCCAGAGTTCACGAGCTCATGCATTATTGTACCAGTGGTAAACTGATTTTCTTTTTCATTGATATAACTTGCATTTTTTTCTTCTGGTTGATGATCCTGTTAAATAGCAGGAATTTTGGGACAAGCTTTTTTCCGCTGCCTAAAACCTTTGCAGAATTTCCCATTTTCACATTCTTGCTTATACCTTAGCCTATTATACAAGTCAGGGCTAACTTTAAACCTCAGTTTCATGGTTAATGGGCAAAGCTATATGAGTATTAAATATTGCGTGACTAAGAGCTGGAAGTATGTTAGAACTCGTTTATTTATTTATATTCATTTTATATATTTATACTCATAAAAACACTTACTAAATCTGAGAAAAAAAATAAATAGGTGTACAAATTGCTATTTTGATCCTAGGACGTAGAATGCATTTTGGGAGACGCTGACATAAGCTGTATGTTTATTTACCAACGCCCTTTTGGAGGAGCACATGTATCTTAGGTAGCAGATTTTTATTGGACAATAAATGGCTTTCAGAATGTATTCTGTGTAAGCTGTTGGTGTTAATAATGAAACGGCTTCTATAATAGTCCCTTTATCAAACCAAGAATACATTCACTTCTTCAACCGTAATCATTTCTGCAGTTACCTTTTCTTGGAGTGTGCATGCCACCATGACGTACACTGTGAAACAATCCCAAAGACTGCATAAATACCCTTAGGTAGTTTCGAAAGTTTACGCTAGACTACTAAGAAATATAAACATCCAAATCCCTTTGGTTACATTTATGCCATCATGTAAGGCACAGGATTTGAAGGTACTTTCCCAGCTATTCAGTCCTGAAATCCCTTGTGTTGGATTAATTTACACTCACTGCATTGTTTCCAGTTGTTCGTATGTTCATTTTGGACATTGAGCTATTAAGGTATTCTGTATTGCTGTAGCATTCCAGCTGATGGGTATCAAATTTGATGGTCTTCACTGGACCATACTATACTGCTAAACTCTCCCAACTGTTAACTTAGCTAGCAATGTCTTCACTTTTATCAGGAAGGTGATTGATTTGAACAGGAGATGAAATATCCAACGTTTTCAAGATGTGTGACATGCTTGGGTGTTTAACTACCGTAAAGAGAAAACATTTCAAACTGAAGATACTCTTTGTATGTTTTGGGCACTGAACTACCTGTCTTAAAATTCAGTCCTTCTTGTGATTATCATTGTTATACGGACACCAATGCATACAACCATAAATAGGATTTATTATTGCCTTTGCACCTTGCATACTTCTGTATAAATTATGTGTACATTTGTCTGAAGAGAAAAAAACATTTGATACTTGGTTTGAGAAGCTACAGGTAATAAAAAAGTTTATGATAATGGAAGCCTTTTCATCAACTGAAAATAACTAGTTGTTAACTGGTTTGATAAAATCTACTCAGTATTTTAAAATCAACATCATTTATATAAAGTTAATGAGCCAAGAGGTATTCAGATGTAGGAAACACTTCATTTAAGATGGGTTAATAGTTAGGCATATCATCTTGCAATTTGGAAGCATTCAACTTCGAATGCAGTGTAAAATGTAGCTCGCATAATTTGATCCAATACCATTACGGAAATTGTTGTTGGCTTTTGCAGAGTTGCCAAGAACAATACACTTACATAGTCTTCTATTTATCTTCTGCTGAGCCATAAGGACATTTTCAGTTAATGATTGTAATTCTTTTCTAGAACTTCTGAGTTGGGCTGAAGTAGAAAGAGCCTTCAAAGTGTTTACTTTTGAAAGCCTGAGGCTGACTGGGCTGAGTGACTCTGGTCTCCTGCAGAGCTCTGGATCTATGCTTGGAGGTGATTCTGAAGTGTCTTATATCCCTTGGGATAATCCAGCCCGGTTTGCAAGACAGCTGAGACAACTATTCCTTACGGAAAAGAAGCTTAGTGGGAAATCTCCAAGAGGCTCTGGTAAAAACCTCTCTGTTTACATTACTCCTGAAGAATTTAAATCCACTGTTTATTTTACCATATCATTTGCTATTTCAGGGCTGTGATTTTTCTTACTTGTACAAATCACTGAATTTCAAGTATTGTATAGTCTGTACATTGAGTTATCTATGTAGGATTACTAGATAAAGACAAAAGCTAGCTACTTTGTATGACATTAGCAGTTTATTTAAGCAACTCTTTAAAATTATATCTGTAGACAAGTATGTACTAGAAAACTAATTTATTGCTTATGACATCAAATATATTTTGGAGACATAAAATACTGAAGACATGCTTAAAAACCTTTCTGAATACAGGCTCTTGTGAGTTATGATGGCAGCCAAGTCTTTACCAACTCAGTAGCAACCACAGAGTGAAATCAAAAGTGATGTATAAGGTTAATTAGATGATTACTAGTGAATGAGTATTAGGAAGTGGAAAGGATATATAACTTATACATTAGGACTCTAGAAGGTGATATAAAAAGTTGAAAATTAAAAAAGGTGTGCTATATGTTGCAATTACACATACATACATACTTTTTCCTGTAAATTTTTTTTCTTACTTCGTTTGCAGTCTGTGGAATTAGTATATCTTTAGCAAGTTATTGTGTGACATTTGAGCCACTAGAACTATCACATTCATATTAGAATGGGAACATTTTAGATAGAAGAATCAGAGGTGGAGATCTCTTGTAGACAATGCAGAGTGAATTTTCTGCAAGTTCTACATCTTCTGCTTCTGCAGATTCTAACATAATGAAAAGTTGTGTTGGAGCAGTGTTGGCCAAGAAGCAACATTAAAAACAAGAGATTATTTTTCTGGGATGTGAGAAAAATAGAAATTAGGTCAGTTTAAGCTGCTATACCTTTGGATTCCTAATGTTGCCCATGCTTTCCTAATACAGATCCCTAGGCAACCAGCTTAAATGGGATCCTTTCCCTAGAAGGTTGGAGCAGACAAAATGAATCCTGCTTATCTGCCTCTCTTCCAAATTTTTTGAACCTTTTTTGGGTGTTAGTTTATTTTACTTTTATGCTAGTCACAATATTAAATACTGCAGTTACAAGTATAGCCTCCAGCATTTCATCGCTTCTTTAACACTATAGCAAATACCAGGAAGAGAAAACTTTTGCTTTCAGATTTCTTAAATCTTCCAAAGGCAGTCAGTAAACAGGTCTAATTTCCTAGAGAAGCAGATCCAGATATATGTCTGGAAGCTGATCTGGTGATGAGCCACTTACAAACAAATACTCTCCAGAGTATTTTCTCCCAGGAAGAGTATTTTTCTTGTACATGTGAATTTTGACCTCTGCCCTAACTCTGGGCATAAATAATTCTATTAAAAGGAAATTAGTTCAAAAAATTAGGAAAGCATAGGAGTTAGTCTCCATGCGATCCTGGTCATATCAGGTACCCATTGTAACAATGATAGTTTATCGGGAATGACTGGTCAGATCCTCGGCAGAAGTAATATTCTGTCAGTAGCTTGTAGAACTCTATAAATCCAATTAATTTCAAGTTTAAAATTTTGCATTTTTCAAAAATATGTGAAAATATCAAAATAATTGATTTTGCCTTCTTTTTTATGTCATCTGTGCAAGGGAATGCTCGTTATTGATTCTCTTGGATAGTAAGCAGAAAAATAGTTCTTCATGTATGAGTCTTCAGGACACTTAGAGTATTTTTAATCTTTTTGACCATGCAAGGCCAGCATAGGACAAATAAGAGGATGATTTAAGTGAGTCTTATAAAGAGTTCT